ACTCGGTTTTATGACAGTTAAGTGTTACTAGTACACAAATATGGTGAATAACTGTAACTCAAAAACTGTAACTTTTGGAGAAAAAAACAGGGAGGGTAGATTTGAAATCCGCGACCTGGAATTAGTAAATAACAGTTATGAAAAATTCCACATAACAAAAAAACAATTGAATTTTGTTCCCTTGTCTCATATCCACACCCACCCCATAAAAACTGCGAATAATTTCCATCTAGTTCAAACACAATACAAATTCATTGAATACATTATTTTTCAAGATATTGAATGATTACAATAACCTTAATTAAACATTTTCCTCAAATCCACCTAAATGAATTACTGTCAGCAAAAAACTTCTGAAAAACTGAATTATGGAAATTTATTTGTGTTCACATTGTTATTGTATTTGAGTCTTGTGTTTTAACTATTGACGGTAAATAGAATTATTTTTACTTTTTTTTTTCTTAGGTGTCCCAGTCCGTCAGCCATGTAACGTTGCAGAATCATCCCAAATTCAACTAGTTGAATTTTCTCGATAAAAATATCTGGTCGAATTTGGGATCGAATTCGCGATCTCTTGATCATAAATTCGGCGCACTACCACTGCACAAACTCACCACTAATTATTTTTACCTATTAGTGACAATATTGAGATTGTACTTGTATTATGATTCTCCTACTGAGAGGCTAGACGGGCGGTTCGAGCAATAACTTTGAATATCAGTCATTCTATTCATAGTAGAAAATGTAAGCACAGTAAAATAAAACAACCAGTAGTCTCTCTTACCACATGGTCCGCCCGAGTTGCCGGGAACCTTCGACCGCCCTTAAATGAGATTCTCATCCAACGCGTTCAGTGCTGTAGTATCGAAGGATTCGAAGGTCCGCGGGCATCGGATTAGTTATAATAAACAGTGTGAAATTGATATTGGGTTTAATTCATTTGCTGTTGTTGTTTATCAATATACTTTTCTGGGCCTAAGGTATATAAAAATGTTTTAATGAAACTGTTTTGTTTGCCAGCGCCACAAACTTCAAGAAAATTATTAAGCGGACTAAATATATCGTGTGGCTTGTAAAATGACATGGTTTTTAAAATGCTAAAATTAAAAGTCGCTCTATGTCCTCAAGATAAATTCTGCGTTTTATATATTGATAAAATTAATATAAAAGCCAATTTATTTAACAGTCATTCCGGTTATTTCATTGGTTTCGAAGATATTGGTAACAAAAAAAATGAAGCCGGCAAAAGTATCAACCACTTTGACGGTGAAAATTCAAAGAAACTAATTTTTGACACAATTACAAAATTTAAAGAGATGTTAATGTTATTGTTTTTATCTCAGATATGGGATCTAATAACATCAATATTTTTCCCGATAATCCATTGTCCACATAAGACATTTACCTATACTGAAATGAGGGTTTTCTAAAGCCCACCATCTACAATTCTGTGACCTTACTGTTCCAATAGTTGTAAATATTGCTTCATCAGTCCATAAAATATTTATTGGGAACCGTGCGTTATCTTTGTATTCTCCCTGATACCATGCGGAAAATTCAAATCTTGGAATAGAATCCCTTTCTTCTAGGGTATTTATAAATTTTGGTTTGAAAATTTTGAATTTATTTCTTCTTAAAATTTTTTGTACGGTAATAGGTACATCGAGAGATGTTGATATTTGTTTAATTGATGTCTTACCATTTTTGATAACACTTAAACACACTTCCTCTTCTTTAGTTTAGATACTTTTGCAGATGTGTGAGGTTTTTTGAAATTGTTATTAATACTGCCCGTTTCTTTGAATTTATTTAAAATACGGGTAACTGTAGTGTGATTTACATTGCGATTAGGATGCCTGGCATTAAAAATGTCTGTAACTTGTATGCTTGTAGTATTTTCCCCACACAACAATATAATTTCATCTTTTTCTTCTTTTGTACGCATCTTGATATTATTTAAATAGTACTTATTATTGAATCTATTAGAGCCTCTGGAGACACCCTACATTTTGTTTTATGAGAGAGAGGACATTGGCAGATCAAGATCTTCAGATGATGTGGTGCTGTAGGTTTTTCCGAGTTTTCCTGCAGCTGAAAAAGCAAATGCGCCACTGGAATCAATGAAGTCGCCTCGCAGCGCCAATTGATTTTTATTGATGTTTTTATTTTAATGGTTGTTTTATAATTTCATAAATAAAAAAGTACTTATTATCAAACGTTAACAAAATAAGCAATAACAGTAACTACGTAATGAATATTTAGCAAATATGTCATGTACTTAATGACAAACATACGTTTGGTTTCAAAGCCAACTTAAAACTCATTTTGGACAAGAAAATCTCCAGAAAATCAATGAGCTTGTTCCAAAATACCTATTTTATTTTGATGTTTTCTGACTTGCTATCATTGAATATTAGGTTCTTGTTACAATACTGTATAATTTTGAGTAATTTTCGGTGTTAACAAAAAATAAAAGTAACTTTGCACCAAAAACTTCGAAGACTATTTTACTCTTCAAAAAAATTGATTCTGGTTAACACCATAGTTGCGTAATTTGTAATATTACAGGCTTTTAAAATAAACCGTCGTATACAGGATGCTGTCTATTTATCGTTTTAGCAATTTTTTTTCAGTCCCCTTTAAAAAATGGGAAAAAAATAAAACTTCACTTAGATGGTCATAACTTCAAATCTAGATATATTCAACATATGCTAGTAGTGCTGAGCTGGATGTCTGTTTCCAAATACTCTCTATTTTTGACATTAGTTTTTATTTATAAAATTGAGATGGGTCTAGCACCTCCATATTGTGTTTGTAAATTAATCTATAACAAGAAACAGAAATTATTTTCATGTGCCACAATTGTTGAAAAGCTCTTCACAAAATTCCATTGTTTTAAGTCTAAATGCTTTGAATGAATTACCTGTTTCTATTCAAGATGCAACCTCTCTCTATACCTTTAAAATAAGTTTAAAGCGTCATATGTTGAATAACTTGTATCAATTTAAGTACTGACTTTATGCTATTGCATTTTTTTCAACTTTTAGGTATGATTACCCCAAGTTGAATGTGTTTTGTATTTTTTTATGTGTTGTATATCATAATTACATTCTGACGAACTGAATGCAATTAGATTTTTTTGTGCTAAATAGACAATCAATATGAAAAATGGTTTTGTGTGAGACTATCTAATTCTGGTTCTAAAAATTGTGCAAATGGCTAGAGCAGTATTTTGTTAAAAGCAATAAATCTATTTAAAGATCATGTTTCCCTCATTTCTCAGACCTCTTTTGAACTGCCATTGGAGACGGCCATCGATACATCTCTCCCTCTCATAGATAAAGATTATCAAAAAAATAATTTATCATAGAAAAATTTTGTTTGGTATTTTTGCGGATGCCTGATAAAAAATGTTTACAAATTCACAGCTATGATATGTGTAAGTCCTATTCCAAGGCTTATATCAACCTCAATGATTCTTCTTTATATTGCTTTTTAAGAGCTTATGAAAATACTAATTTAGATACATTTGGTAATTCAAATATGCCGCATGAAAATTTTGTTAACTATATATCTTTACTAGAAGCGCTGTTTCAAATAAATTTTGAATTACTTGCCATCGAAAATAACATTGTCAACTCGTTTGTAAATATTAGCAAGACAACAAAATTTAAACGTCCTTTTGTTTGAAAGTAGTTGACAATGTTTCTTGGTGCATTTCATTAGTGTGGACTTCTATTGTCGGATATGATATAAATTGATTTGAAATACCTAAAAGAATCTGTAAAAATAAAAAATTAAGTAAAAAGAGATTATCCGCTTCATCGGTTTTAGAGGAAGCCGACAGTTTGGTCAGCTTCCTGGAGTTGGTCGTGTTCCGCTTAATTAGAGGTTTCCATATGTTGTGTATCACTACGCTAGCTTGGCTAAATGCGTTGTTGGACAACATACATGCGGCTTCTTTGAATTTTCTCCTAAACCAGTGTTCTTCCTTGTGGATAATTTCACCTTGAGCCCACTTGATGTTATATTGACGAGTTCAAACGTGCTCTGCTTTTCCTGATTTGCTGGTTTCTCCTCGCTGTGTGTAATTCTTATGTTTGGCAATGCGAACTTTCAATGGCCTCTTAGTTTCACCGATGTATGATTCTCCGCACTCGCAGGGTATCCGGTAAATGCAATTCTTGGAATCGCAGACCGCGTTCGGTGGCCTGGTTTTTGTGAGGCTGCTATGGATAGTGTTCCCAGATCTGAAGCAGGTTCTGATGTTATACTTGGACCCAATCCTTATCCTTTACGACATTCCTCTGGTGTAGGGAAGTACAAGTACTGGTTGTGGCGTCTTCTCTTCCTTATGGAGCTTTTGCTGTCTTCTAGCTGAAGCCTGTTCCATCATCACTTTGGAGTAACCATTTAGTTGAAGGTCATTTCTGATGATGCCTAGTTCTTTTTCGAGAGCTTCTTTTGTTTTACAGAGCCCGAAAGCACGGTCTAGTAGAGTTTTGATGATTCCTCTCTTAGTCGATTGATGGTTGTTGAAGAGCCGGTGATATCGCCGTACGGAATAAGTAACTTACAAAATCTTCTATAATGTCCTTAAATTTCGTTTTTATGTGAGCGCACGCCTATGGTAAAAGAACGAAATCGCCCTCGCACTTCGAGAACTTTGTAAATTAGTAAGAGATGACTTATTGGTTGTTTTATTTTACTGTGGTTCAAGGCTAGATAAAGAATTTATGATTATTGATGATGGTTTTTCTGGTGAATTAGTTTGTGGAACCTAATTCGACGACAATCTTAAATTCCTTTCAATTTTATTAGCTCAATTTGGAGATATATGTGAAAATGTGTCATACATGTACACATAAAGCAATCAATACCACATATATACTGAGTGTATCAAACTTGATTAATGGATAAATATATGTTATTACTTACACTTGATTCAAGATATGAAATACAATGAGTCATGCTTATTAAAGTTTGAGTAATTTACTTACCCCTTGATTGATATTGCTACTTTCTTTTGTTGATTCCAATTTGTTCTTATCCATGACCTTGATGTTAGTAAAGGAAGTAGAATTAGTTTGGGCTATAGGAATTGAATTTACATTGAATAAGGTTAAACCGGACAATAAATACTCCTGAATATCTTTGCTGAAGTTGTCAAAAACATTTTTTGTTTCGACATAGCACTCCAACGGAGTCAAACTTGCTTTTTTATATGACAAATATTTGCTTAAGGGTGCATTGGGATCTGTTGTGTGAGGCCCCTCAGAGGGAGTAAAGTCAAAAAGTCTTCTGTAGTCATTCAGCATACTTTTGATAAGGGAAAATTTATGTTGGTCATCTTTTTTTGGTCGGCCTCTTCTCCTAACACCCAGGATCATTTTGGATAAAGAGGGTCTGCGTTTGATAATGCGACCTTGTTTCGAAACAGGTTTTTTATCATATTTCCTGGACAGTTTGGAGTCTTTCAAATTATTTTTCTTTGCAGGTAGTTTCTTGACGAATGGTATGACTTTTTTACTGTGTGGTTTTTGCTCCTCTGGATTTCTTTTCCTCTTCATTTCGGCTTTGATATTTTCCTTCATGCCTTCTTCTGTTACATATGCATTTTTCTTATTATTGTCTAAACATTTTGCAGTTTTTTGAAAATGTCTTTCAAACTTAGACTCTGACACAATCATATGTTTACGACGTTTCTTCATTCGAATATCATCATCAGAGGATGAGTAAGAGAATTCACTGTCTTTTACATTTGGACTATAATACGAAGATTCACTTTCAATGGGCTCATTGTTTGCATCAGAGTCGGCATCGCTGTTAGTAGAAGAAGAATCAGATGATGTAGAGGAATCAAAAGAACTAGGTGAGCTAGTATCACTAATGGGTTCACCGTTACCATCTTTAACTTCACTTTTCAACTTGTTTTCTGCCACTGTATTGAGCTCTTTCAAATTGCCACACTCCAAAGAGGATATTCTACTAGTCCTTTCAACTGGGAGATGTTCAACGATAACCTTTTTGTTCTCATTATCTAAAGATATAGGTGCGTGGCTCATAGGATAAAATCTATCTCGATTACTGTATATCGTTTCAGCGCACTGGTTAATTGTATAGTACTTATGGTTGCTCCAAATAAGATTAGGTTTGTACTTTTTGGGTGGGGAGGGGTCTAGAATTGGTTGCTCTACTTCTTGTAATGCACCTACAGGTGTTTTCTCCATGCTCACCGAAAACACGTTCAACAATCCGGGAACATTATTTGAATCCATTTTACTAGTGCCATTACTAGTTTGGGCAATAACAGGTGATGCTGGGTTGAGTTCAGGCATTTGTTCATGCATCATGAAAGGTTCTCGCAGTTCTGGAACAGTTAGCTCTGGCATTTGTTGTACAATGACACTTTTTATTTTTGAATCACTAGATCCAATAGCTCCAGATGTATCTTTAAAATGTAGAGGTTGCCCTAAACCGAGAATAGGTATTGAACTGGCAGCTGTTGAGCTACCTAGTTGACTTAAATTAGGTAGTACTGCATCCAGCGAAGAGTTATCTATAGTTACAACACTAACTATTTCTGAAGATGCCCCTGTAACATGTGGTGTGAATGGCTTTATAAAGGCATCTTTATTAATATTCAAACTTGTTTCCACAATGTTACTTCCTACCGAAGCAGTTATTGGCAACTGTCCAGGAGCATCACCATTTGTTGTGTTTTCAGGTAAGAGAACTTTGTCTGTACTTGTATTGTTAGTTAATAATGCAGAATTTGTTACTACTCTTATATCTCTTGGTAGTGATGATAATGTATCAGATACATTAGGTGCTACTTTACTATGAGATAACTTATCAACCAGTTTTGTAGATTTATTTGAGAAATTTATTTCAACTGGTTTTTCTTCCCTTTTGTTCAGAAATTTTAGAAAAGCATTCTCATATTTGTTAGAAGAAAGTGGAGCAGTTAGAGAAACTGGTCTAATAGGCTCCATTTTCGGTTTACTCATCAATGGATTTGAAGCCAAAACTGTTATAATACCTTTGGATGTTTTTATAGTTTCTATATTACTTGTTAATAATTTTGGTTTTTCTTTGGGCTTTCTATATGTTTTTAGATTTGTTTTAGGAGCTGAAGGGATTTGTGAAGGCAAGATTGGCTGTGGTGAGGAAACTAGCTGGGGAAAGGATATTGGCTTTTGGTCACATTTTCCAGATTCATCAAGTAAAGACTTTTCATGTTCTTCTGCTGCAGCACGGATAATGTTGTCAATTTCTTGCTTCACTTCAGGATTAGGAGGTTGTTCTTCCAATTTGCAAGGATCAGATAATTCTACCACACCATCTTCTAATGGATAATGTTTGCCTGGTGATAATATTTAATGAGTATACCATAATTTTGATATAATAGTATCATCAGGGATTGAAACTGAAGTATTATTGACCATTTTTGGGACTTCTAGATAATTCAAAAACAAATGTATTAACTTAAAAATCTGTCAGTCACTGATTTGAAAATAAAATGGCCAAGAATTTTTTAAATTCTTAGGTTTATTCATAAGTAACAGATTGGAATTTGATCAGTATTCAATATCTATGAGCAGAAAATTGCACCATTCTTAAGTGCAAACACAATAAATGTATCCACTGTGAAAATTGTCTAATATTTGTTGATTAATATTCATTTGAGATATGGTATTATATTTTGGGAATTCTGTAACCAACATATTTTCCACTCCCTAATGAAACTATGTTCTGTGATATAATTGTATTTTTTAAAATTTTGTATAATTTGCATATATATTTTGAATCATGCAACTAATTTTCCTTTATTTTCAGTATTTTAATATTAATATAAGTTACAAAAAGGACTTGAAGCTTTACAACTTCTATTGAATTATATGCGAGCGCTTTCGACATCTGGCCGTACTGCCATCATCAAGGCTCTACTCAAACTGAACGTGTCAACCTCTTGTTTGCCCTTTTATGCGGTCCGAACGCCTCAATGCAGGTACTTCAGGTACTTAAGGTAAATTTGCCTGTATTTGGGTTACACCAGGTAATATTTTTTGTGTTGGATCTTCTCTAGGTTTACTGTTTCTAGGAGTGTGTATTGTTTTGTGTAATATATTAAATGTTAGGTCTTGTTATATTTTGATTTGTATTTGATCCTCGATAAGTGAATAATGACTGTTGAATTTATGGATGTTTAAGTTTTCCCAGATGTCCATAGTGTTTCCCTTATTGACTTGTTTTATGAGTTTTATGTTCTCTGGCGGGGGGATATTATTTTTGTTTTATATGAAGTATGTTGCGAGGTTTGATTTATATATTATTGGGTTTATGTATGCCTTTTTGTGCTCGTCGTACCTTTGGATCAGTTTTTTCTTGGTTTGGCTGATATAGAATTTCTTGCAGTCCGAGCATTGAATGCTGTACACCCCGTTTAGGTTTTTATCTTCTTGAAAAGAGAAATGACAATTTCTATGTTTTTTACCACTTTTAATTGTAACTAACGTTACTGCAGTTTCGTCCTATATGGACATTCTCAAACTAATACAATAAATTTCCATATTGAGAAATGGGAATTCCATATAGGACGAAACTGCAGTAACATTAGTTACAATTAAAAGTGGTAAAAAACATAGAAATTTTCATTTCTCTCTTCATTATGATCTCCTACCACGTAGTAACGACTACATCCATTAATTTATTTTTGTCTTCTTCTTTTTCATAGCTGTTTATTATTTATTTGTGTTAATTTCGTGTTTGGCTTATATGTGATGTTGATATTCAGGGGTTTGAAAATGTTTGTAAGTTTTTTGCTTTGGTGTCCTAGGTACGTAAATGCTGTCCATCATTGTATTGTTTTACCTGTTGGAGTAGTTTGATCCTTGTTCTGTATTTTTTGTTTGATTCTGTTTTCTAATTTAGGTGGCGCCCCCTACGAGTAAGAGCAATAAGAACATCAGGTTCGAATTCGACACCTCAAAAACCTCATATTACCAAGTTTCGTTTAATTAAGTTCAGTATTTCAAAAGTTATTTGAAAAAAACGAAAATAAAAATAAAACTTCAACATCCTGTATCTTGGAAACGAAGCGTTTCCGGACATTTATTTATTTGGTTACATATCTTAAATATTGAGGATTTCCAGCCAATTTTCTCAAAAACCATTGACACATAGTAATGCGTTGGGTAAAGTCTCGTGGCAAAAGAGCTTGTACCCTTTGAATATGGTATGGGTAAAACTGTTTGTCATGGATAATTCTCCAAACTGTGGACTGAGTAGAATTGACAGCTTCAGCAATTACTCTTGTGCTTGTTTCTGGAATATATATATATTTTTGTGTTATTTTCGTGTTCGGCTTGTAAGTGATGATGATGTTCAAGTATTTGAAGATGTTTGTTTATTTTTTGGTTTCGTAACCTATGTATGTGAATGCAGTTCATCGTTGTGTTGTTTTATCTGTTGGAGTAGTTTGATCCTTGTTCTGTATTCTTTGTTTGATTTTATTTTTCTAATTAATTTATTGTCTTTTGGACCATGAAGATGATAGCACAGCCTGCCATCGAAAACGCATGCATATAATAATTAAAGTTATTAAAGCTTCAAATCCTTTTTGTGAACAAGTGTTAATATTGAAATACTGAAAATAAAGGAAAACTAGTTCCATCAATCAAAATTCATGGCAAACGCGGATATGTGTTTCTGGCTATTGGCCTCATCAGCGCTGTGTAACCAAGTACAATTGGGTAACACTTGATTGCCGAAAACAGGCTTTTAAAATAAACCGTCGTATACAGGATGTTGTCTATTTATCGTTTTAGAATTTTCTTTTCATAGTCGCCATTAAAAAAATGGGCAAAAAAAAACTTCACTTAGATGGTCATGACTTCAAATCTAGATGTATTTTTTGATGCCGAACAACTTTTCTCAATAACATTTTGAGATTTTTCAAAATAAGAGTACTTTACTCTTGTCACAAAATCAAATATTTGAAGGCTCCTCGTATATTACGTGTGTTGTACTGTATTTTGTTGGTGCATGTTTAGTTTTAGGGGATACACAAACTCTTATCAACAATAACTTTTTGCCAAAAAACCCTTAATAAATGAGTTTCCCATATGGTGCATACTCTGGGGATGACACTGTATATATAACTTCTAAATATTATATGCGAGCGCTTTCGATAGCAGGCTGTACTATAATCTTCATGGTTCTACTCTAACTGAACGTTTTATCTGCTTGTTTGTTCTTTTAAACGGTTAGAACGCATTAGTGCAGGTATTTGTCCTCTCCTTTCATCCGGATGTCTCTTTAAATTTGCCTGTACTTGGGTTAAATCAGGTAATATCTTTTGTGTTGGTGTTTCTCTAGGTTCATTATTTCTAGGAATGTGTATTGTATTGTGTAGTATATTGAATGTTAGGTCTTGCTGTGTATTGATTTGTATTTGTTCCTCGATAATTGAATTATGACTTTTGAATTTATGGATGTTTAGGTTTCCCCAGATGTCCATACGGTTTCCTTTATTGACTTGTTTTATGAGTTTGATGTTTTCTGGTGGGGAAAAGTTATGCTTGTTTTGTATGGCGTATGTTGCGAGGTTTCATTTATATGTCATGTTTGTGTATGCTTTTTTGTGCTCGTCATACCTTTGGATCAGTTTTTTCTAGGTTTGGCCGATATAGAGTTTGTACACTTCGTTAAGGTTTTTGTCTTCTTGTTTTTCATAGCTGTATATTTTTTGTGTTATTTTCGTGTTCGGCTTGTAAGTGATGATGATGTTCAAGTATTTGAAGATGTTTGTTTATTTTTTGGTTTGGTGACCTATGTATGTGAATGCAGTTCATCGTTGTGTTGTTTTATCTGTTGGAATAGTTTGATCCTTGTTCTGCATTCTTTGTTTAATTCTTTTTTCTAATTTATCTGTTGTCTTTTGGGCCATGAACTTGATAGCACAGCCCGCCATCGAAAGCGCTCGCATATAATAATTGAAAGTTGAGCTTCAAATCCTTTTTCTGAACAAGTGTTAATATTAAAATACTGAAAATAAAGGAAAAATAGTTGCATCAATAAAAAATGATGGCAAACACGGATATGTGTTTCTGGCTATTGGCCTCATCAGAGATGTGTAACAAAGTACAATTGGGCAACACTTGATTGCCGAAAACAGGCTTTTATAATAAACCGTCGTATACAGGATGCTGTCTATTTATCGTTTTAGAAATTTTTTTTCATAGTCGCCATTAAAAAAATGAGTAAAAAAATAAAACTTCACTTAGATGGTCATGACTTCAAATCTGCAGACAGAGCCAGGAAACAACTCCACAAGCATACTTCAGGGTGCAGGTGGCGCAGTAGACATCCCACTGAATCAACTGCAGAGAGATTCTATGACTAGCTGGAATTATATTTGTTTGGCCGTGATTCTCAAACGGTTCACACCGTTCTGAAGAGACCTTGCCCAGTACTGATGATGGGGCAATCACCCCGAAACCGGTCTATCAGTTGGTCGGTTCGACCAAAGTAAATTAATTTCTGCTTTTCATAGTGGGAAATAACTTGCTATGAATCTTCCAAGTCGAAGACGTTGCACAGGTGCTTGATGGTTTTACTTTAACTCTCTGCCCGGCATTAACTGGGTGAGTTGTTGTTTTTCCGTTGGGTATCTGCCATACGCACCTACAAAGTCGTAGGTCTGCATGAGAGGAAAGGGGCAACCTTTAGCATGTCATAATGCACCTCTCCGGAATATTAATCATTATTCCTACTCCCACCCCGAAGTATGCTTGTGGAAGTATGCTGTCAGTGTCAATTGTTTTTTATCTCTCTCTGTGGTCTGCAGCCACATGGCTTTCACCAGTAAGTTATAATTTGATAATAAAATTTATCGAAATATTTGAATAACTTGTGTTATAAGAGTACACTTCCGTTCTGCTTATCACCCAAAGATAGTTCCTAAGTTTTGTATCTAACTAGTCAGCAAAGACTGTCCTTCAACTTTCAATTTGGTCATTATTACGCCTTGGTTAAAAAAGAAACGGACTGGTTTAAGTTTGACG